TGATCTCTAAATTCAGGTGGGGTATATTCAAGGGCATATTTTGGCTCTCGCGGACTTGTTTTCATTTTCTTCAGCTTCAATTTGAATTTGCATATGAGCAACAAGTGGTCTGTTCCACAATCTGCCCCTGGCCTTGTTTTCACTGATGATACGGAGCAGAGCTTTTCCATCATCTCTTTCCGCAGATATAGTCCATTTGATTTCTGTATATTACATCTAGTGTGGTCCATGTGTATAATTATGCTGTCTAAATAAGGTATTTGAAATGAACAAATCATTGATTTTGCAGAATTCTATCATGCGTTCTCCAGCATCATTTCTATTACCAAGACGGTATTTTCCAACTACTGATCCTTCCTGTTTGCTCCCAACCTTTGCATTCCAATCAGTGGTAATGATCTTGATTAGATGTTTGATCAATTTCACATTGAATAAGTTGGTAGAATTCTTCTAATTCATCCTCACTGACTTTAGTGGTTGGTGTGTTAATTTGAATAATAGTGGTATTAGCTGGTCTTCCCTTTAGGCGTATGGATATATTATCATATCACAGACAGCGTTGTACCTCATGACTGATCTGGGTATGTTCTTTTTGACCATGAATGCAACACCACTCCTCTTTAATTTGTCATTCCCGGCATAGTAAACCATGTGGTTGTCAGATTCAAAATGGCCAATACCAGTCTATTTTAGCTCACTAATGCCTAAGATATCTATGCTTATGTATTCCATTTCATTTTTGACCATTTCCAGTTTTCCCAGATTCATACTTTGTACATTCCATGTTCCAGTTATTACTGGATGTTTACAGCTGTTTCTCTTCATTTCGAGTTGTGCCCCATCAGTAAATGAAGGTCATGTGGTCTTTTCTTCTACGGGCTGTACTCCATTCTATGGTTAGCTCTACTTTGAGGAGGCAGCCCTTCCCCACTCGCATTTTGAGTGCCTTCCAACCTGAGGGGCTAATTTTCTGGCACTATATCTGACAGTGTTTCTCTGCTATTCATAAGGTTTTCAGTGACTAAATATTCGGAAGTAGTTCATCAGTCTTTCTTCCTAGTCTGTCTTCGTCTGGAAACTCATGGGTGACCCTGCTGATATTTAAAATACCAGTGGCATAGCTTCCAGAATCACAGCAACTCACAAGCTACCACAATACAACAAATTGACAGACATGTGGTGGAGCTGCTACTTAGAAACCCTATATAGAGTCGTTGTGAGTCATAACTGACTCGATGGCACATTAATAACAACTACTTTATCAAGCATGATGTTCTTCGCCAGGGAACTGCTACTGCCGCCTTGTGCTGTGGAGTCTGCTCCAACTCAGCGACCCTATGTAGAGTAAATCTTTATGGGAGCAGAAAGCTTCATTTGAACTGCTGACCTTGTGGTTAGCAGACTAACAGCCTAGTCCCTCCTGATAATGGTGGTGGTGGTTACATGCTGTGAAGTCGGTTCCGACTCATAGTGACTCTGGGCTGGATTACTGAGGTTATAAATCTTTGCAGAAGCAGAAAGCTTCATCTTTCTCCCTGAGAACAGCTGGTGGGTTCCAGCCACTGACCTTGTGGTTCACAGTCCAGTGTTTGAACTACAGAGCCACCATGCTTCCTACTATTAGCTATCATTGTCATTAAGTACTATGAAGTCAGTTCTAACTCATAGTAACCCTATATAGAGTTTCTGAGGAGCAGCTGGTAGGCTTGAACTGCTGACTTTGATCTTAACAGTCCAGTGCTTACCATATAGCCGTCAAGTCAGTTCCAATCCATAGCAACCCTGTATAGGGTTTCAGAGGAGCAGCTGGTGAGCTTGAACCGCTGACCCTTCAGTCCAGACTGACTTCCAGGATTTCACCTAGTACCTACAGGTACATGTAAACACAAATACGTGGGTGCAGCCACACACATTCAAATACTACTCAGCCATAACCAAACTCCTCCTCAGGTTGGTTTTCTGGGTCTGAAGGCTTAGGACCCTATTCAGAGGCAGCAGATGTACTTCAGGTCCACTCCCCCAAGGAGAGCTCACAGAAGCTCATACAATGAGACTAGAGCCAGGAGGGCCTCAGCTCAGGGAGCGCCCACAGCCACCAGGGGACAACAGGCGCCCTCTGCAGGGACATGGGGTCATTGTCACAAGGCCCCGGGAGTTTACCAGTCCAGTCTCAAACATGAATAAGGAGTGTTGGCCTTAGGAGATGTAGTGAGCTTGCCCGCAGTCACAGTAGGTTCCCACCACCTCTGTCCCACATGCCCCTCTCCTGGAAGCCTGTGCTGATGTGTATGTGTCCCTCCCCCCTTGCAGCTGGCACTCCTGACAGAGCTGTCCCAGAGCCGCGGCAGCGACAGCTACAGGCCCTTCAGTGGCTCCCAGAGCGGCCCTGCTTTCAGCAGCATCTTCCAGAATGAGAACTTCCAGCTGCACCTCATTCCCCCTCCGGCCACCGAGGACTGAACCTCCCTGACCTTGTGGACCTGACCCGACGCTGGGCTGCTGACCCCTCCAGCCTCCGAGCAGAGGTTCTGTGCCAGGCGCTTTCCTGACAGCCATTCCTAATGCGCATGCCCCATCTCCTGCATCAGTTTGCCTTGCTGGCTGACTTCATTTGCTTATTAAGCAGAAGGAATGTCAGGACCTCTGCAGCGTTGAGATGCGTTTTGCCTGCTGGGACATGGTCTCACATCCCTGGAAGCCTGGTGAACTGGTGTGCGGGTGCAGCTGCATTGCAGGGTCCACCATGCTCTGTGTTGTCCCCTCCCCAACACACACACAGCTGGTCAGGCTCACTGAGGGGCTTTGGAGTGCTGCCATCCATCCGCAATGGGGAGGGGGTGGCTGGGGACAGTGGTGAGCACCCTACTGACCTGTTGCTGTGAAAATTCCTGTGACTGTAAGACTTGCCCTTTGAAACAATAAACGCCTCTGTGTTTACGGCCTGCAGGCCTGGGGCAGCTGTCCAGCTCTGTCTCTGTCAAGTCCTGGAGGCCATTGGAACCCTGGAGCTGCACTTGGGTTATAAAAGTTTAGGAACCTGCTGTGGGGATCAGGCTTCCTTCCGGAGGGGCCAGGCTCGTTTCTTTTGCCCCTGGGACTTATGGAAGCAACCACCAGAGGAGCTGACCACTGCCAGGGACCCAGCTTCTCACCTTACCCACTCAGAGTGATGAGCTGGCTCTTACAGACTCAGCCTACCCAACCCACAGAACCAGGTGCATGACTTTCAATAGAAAATACAAGTCGGTACTGCTTCTGCCACATCCTAGCTACTGGGCAAGTCCCTACCCTCTCTCAGCCTCGATGTCCTTACCTGTACAGCAGAGCGGCTACGAAGGTGATGTCGGCTGCATATGGCCCTCCCTGCTGGAGGAGGTGTGGGGAGACTGACTGAAGTACACGGCGGAGCCTTAAGTGACCACCTGTGGGGTACCTGTTACAGTTGTAAGAGATCGTCTCAACCCCACTTCACACACAAGAAAGATGAGGCCCACAGAGCATTTTACCAAGGTGACGCTGAAAAAGGGGCCGAGCACGGATTTGAACTCAGAACTATGATTCCAGAGCCAGTGATGCTCCCTCCCCAAATATCAGAAGGTTTCTCAAACCTACAATTAAGGCCACGGGCACTTGGTATTCTCAAAGCAGACTGCAGCAGTTGTCCTCCTCCTCCATTCTCTAGTCTACAAATGCAAGGCAGTTTGCTGCATGTCAGAGTAAACACCAAGAGTTTATTCCCTAGCCCCGTCCCCCTCTCTCAGTCCTGAAGAGTTCCTTTGTCTCTTGTCATTCAAGTCACAGCACAGTTGAATAAATTATGGCATCTCTGTATTCAGGTCATGCCTTGCTAAGCATGTACCCCTGACTGAGTTTGAAGAACCCTCTTGACTCATCTGAAGGTAGATGGATGAGGAACCAGCTTTTGGGTACATGCAGTGTTGGGCACCAGGCCCCCATTATGTGGGGTAATTCATGTACCCTGTGTTAGGCCTTGTACTGGCTTCTGTGGACAGAAAAAGTGACCGAGGCATGGCCTACATCCATAGAAGCTAACAACCAGCAGTACACTCAGCTCGCTCAACACTAACTTTTGTTTATAGCCTAGTTGTCATACAAGAGATGACGTGGACAGCCCTGGGGAGCGTCTCTGCTACAGTTGTCACACGTGTGCTGCTTTGTCCACGCGGGGATGCAGAGCCCACCTTTTCCTGTCCGAACTGCCTTCCTCTCTTCTGTTTGCCCACCCGGGGAAACCTGGGTGGGCCATGTTCCCTCTGTCAGGTGTATTTCCCATGGTTCTGCTGCTTTTGTAGTTCATTATCTGCAGGTGGTCCATTGACAGCTTCCAACCCCATTGCTGTTGGGTCCATTCCAACTCATAGTGACCCCATGTTAAACATTACAACTGCCCCATAGAGTGTTTTTGGGCTGTAGTCTTTATGTAAGCAGATACATGCCTATCTTCCTTGGTGCCCATGTTGTTGTTAAGTACCATCGAGTCAGTTCCAACTCATAGCGACCCTGTATAGGGTTTCTGAGGAGCAGCTGGTGGGTTTGAACCACTACCTTGTGGTTCGAATCGACCTTGTGATCCAGTGCTTGCCCTCCAGCTACATCAGGATTCCATGGTGCCTCTGGGTGTGTTCATACCAAATCATCTGAACCACCCAGCGACCTTACTGCCTTCTTACACAGTGTAAGTAAGCTAGCCCAAGAGTTCAAGTTGTTAAAGGTATCTGCTCATTTATTGGGTACCCTGGTGTTTCATTGGAGTGGCACTATAGAATAAACACTGGACTGCTAACTGCAAAGTCAAGCCATTCAAACCCAGCAGCCACTCCTCTCACACCCTATAGAGGGTCTGAGTCAGAACCGACTCCATGGCACTTAACACCAGCTCTTATTGAGATGCACAGGATGGGATCTACTTCTAAGCTTCCTTTTGCCCTAATGTTAAATAAGGGCAAAGCCAGTGGGGCAGGGCCTCACGCTGCGCCTCCCCCTGCTTCCTTCCATCAGCTGGGGCAGGGGAACATACCAGGCTGCGTCTCCTTCATGGCTCTGGGGTCTGGCAGATGTGGTGGGTGTTGTGGCTCCTCTCAAATCAAAGCCCTGCTGCTCAGGGTGGAGGGATCCACTAACACCAAGAATCCACTGCCATCTGCCCTGTGGGTCCATGGGGTGTAAAACCTGGCATGGCCTGGGCACCCTTTCCATAGCATGTGAGGGGATGGTAGCAGCTGCCAATCCTGAAGCCCCTGCTCTGGCAGACACTTGTGTTCCACTCTGGGCTGTGATCCTGTTTTATTCAGAAAGATTTAGGCCTCCATCTCCCAGGTAATGAGCTGTACTTGGAGTGTTGTGTGTTTGACTCCAAATTTACTTGAGGATGAAAGTAAAAAGCCTTTGGGGGAAGTCATCCATTCCTGCAGATGGGCTGAGTGTAAGGGTGTTAGAAAGCTACATCAAGACCTCCCAGAAGCCCTCAGGACCAGGCCAACCTGCATGGCCTCCACCCTAACTCCACTAGATGCAGCTCAACTGCACTTCAATCTGAGGGTGACATGAAATGAACATATACTCTTCACCTAGGGCAGGCCTGGAGCAGCAGAGAGGGGACCAGTCTGCAATCTATAGTACATAGATTGGTGGGGGTGGGGGAATGGTCAAAGGCCTGGAGCAGCCCGGTAGGAGGGCTGGGCCCAGACCATGGATGACCCCCCATGCACATGCTTTCATTCAGTGCCTTTCCAGCACTGCCGGCTGTGAACCACCACCCTCCGACCACGCGGAGTGTGATCGGACCCCAGAGTGGGGATACCAGGGCGTATTATGCTTTTGAAGAAAGCAGAGATTAAATAACGGCATAAATACACTTGTCAGTTCTGACTCATAATGACTCTAAGGTTTCCGAGGAGCAGCTGGTGGGTTTGAACTGCCAAGTCTGTAGTACACAGTCCAGTGCTGATCCCATAGCGCCACACCAGGAGCTCATAAACACCTGGTGCTGGTGATGTGCCGTGGAGTCGGAAGTGACTCATAGCGACCCTGCACAGGGTTTCCGAGGCTGTAAATTTGTACAGGAGCAGAAAGCCTCATCTTTCTCCTGCAGAACAGCTGGTAGTTTCAAACTGCTGACCTTGCAGTTAGCAGCCCAACTTGTAACCACTACGCTACCAGAGCGTCTTCATAAATACCTACAGAGGTGTAAAACACTGACAGGTGCCTTAAGTGAGTGTGTAGGGCAACTCTAAACAACGAAAGTTTTATAATTCCAATCCATCCATCTTGTTACTGGTGTGGCGCTGTGGGTTAATGCGTTGGACTGCAAGGTCTGTTTGAACTGCAAGGTCAGTGGTTCAAGCTCACCATCTGCTCATTGGAAACACTATACAGGATCACTCTAGGTCAGAACTGACTTAACGGCACTTTAGAACAATAATCTTGTTACTGATAAAAGCTTTCATTTCTTTAGCCATCAAAGGAGCAGAAGGGAAGTAATCAAAGTTTCGTTGTAATCAAAGTTAACTGAGTAGGATCTAGACTCAGTAGATTCAGTATGCCACAAAATCAGAACGGACCTGCAGAAACTGAGCCACAGCTTAAAACCAGCCCATGCATTCTAAAGCCAAGGGAATGAGCTCAGTGAATCCCTGCCCCACCGGAGGCAGGCTCAGCCCTGGCCCTAGCAGATGGAGAGTGGGATGGAAGGGCTCCAGGATGTGGAGAGGACAACAAACACCCAGTGCCCACACTGCACAGCTAAGGGATGGCATCAGCAACATCTGAAGAGGGTGTCCAGGCTGAGCTAGGCCCTGGCTCCAAGTTCTACTGGGCGAACTGAGGCACGGCTGAGTCAAGAATGACTGACTATGGTTCAGGACAGGGAGGGCCGGGTCCTTGGAAGGAAGAGTTGTGTGGAGGAGGCCGGACTGTTGGCCCCTGAGGGTAAGGGGAGGCAGGGACAAGCCTGAGCTCGGCCCACCTGTAGAACCAGCTGCCCCGCACAGTCCAGCCCCGCTCGAGTCCCAGGTTTCCTGAAGTCACCGCACTTTGCTCCTGTTCACTTATTCTGGAAGACTCTTTAGGAGATGTTTGTTGTGAGAGGTGGGGGCAAGCATAGCCTTCACACACCCAGCCAGTGGGGAAGAGGATGCAGAGCCAGGAAGGCCCCTGAGCTCCTGCATTTGCCCTCAGCCTTTGCCAGAAGACTCTAGGTGCACAAATGGTTCTCTGATTGACAGCTAACCAAAGGATCGGTGGTTCAAGTCCACCCAGAGGCATGCTGAAAGAAAGGCACATTGAGTCACCATGCGTCAGAGTCAACCTGAGACAACAGGTTCTTGCCATCAGGATGTGAAGACAGCCAGTCTTTTCGGGGGGCCGAGGGCAAATCTGGAGCCCTGGGTTCCAGGCGTGTTTGCCTCTCTGGGGGTTAAAGATCATAAAGTGACCATAAA